TTTTCTTCAGGCTGAAATTATGCGCTGACCGTAGCAGATCACTTCCCATAATAACCCTTCCCCCACCCATGGCTAAATACAATCTGTCTCCTACTCACTGTAATAACGTGCAAATGACTGTAATTTTGCAGACAAGAAACAGCCCAAAGTGAAACGTGTCTAAACAGAGGTCGATTTGAAAAATCAGGGCTATTACCTAAATCTGTAAAATACATATTGTAATAAAACCAGCAACAGCAATCTCCAATAAGTAGTTTTAAAAAAAATGTAGCTTGTGTTTTGATCTTCTTTACGCACCCAGTCTCCACTGGCATAAAAGAAAAATCCTTTTCCAGAAATGGTTTCATTACATGCAATGTAAATTGCCTTTCTCTGCTAACGGATCTGCAGACCTTGCTGGGCACCGGTTCAGATATAGTAGCACGCACTACACCAACAAGAGCCTGGGCCAAGCGGAGGTAAGATTTCAGACACTTAACACTGACCTACATTGCTGTTTTCTCAGTGTGAGCAGTATACAAATGTTTCCCTTTAGAAGAATGTGTTGTTCTGCAATATTTTGCTAGGTTCTCTAGAACTGCAGGGCATAAAAGGGACAAGATTTGCTACTTTTTGATTATTTTAAGGTTGAGGATTGGGAGAAGGAATGGGGAAATGCATACACATATAGGGAGAAGTACCTCCTTCTTTAACTTTACATTTCTTTACTATTAAAATTCATTGTAGCCTTAAATCAGAGCATGGAAAATTTGCTTATATCATTTCAATTTAAGCAAAACTGTGCTATAAAGATTTGTCAAGATAGTCACTATTCTCCTTCCCTTGGATGTAGGGTCACTTTGTTATATTCTAAGGAGTTTGAATTGAAGGTGAGCTAACAGGGCATAGAAATGACCTGAAAAGTTAACACAGCTGTTTATACAATGTGTGTAAATATCCATATTCACAAATATAGATCAGAATGTCTTCGAGTCTTCCATGGCAGCGTGAACACTATTGGTGTCTTTCGTCCCTAAACCCTCTAGGGGAAGGACCTGAAATGTTTCCGTGTGCAGGGTCCTCTCTCTGCACTGGACACCTACTTCTTGGCACTTGATTTTGGTCCAGTGATATTTCAAGATATTACAAAAACATTGCTAGGCCGGCCCGTGGCTTAGCGGTTAAGCGCGCGCGCTCTGCTGCTGGCGGCTGGGGTTCGGATCCCGGGCGTGCACAGATGCACCGCTTCTCTGGCCATGCTGAGGCCGTGTCCCACATACAGCAACTAGAAGGATGTGCAGCTATGACACACAACTATCTACTGGGGCTTTGGGGGAAAAAGTAATAAATAAAATTATAAAATCAGAAGAAAGAATTAAACTTTAAAAAAAACAAAAAAATAAAAATAAAAACATTGCTCATCTCTTTTTGATGACAGTTGTCTAGAGGTGAATATTGTTAAAAATATTCCACTGAAACTTGAATTGGATTTGTTATGCATGTGTGAAAAGGCAGAGAGAGAGTTTTCTTCAGAAGACCTTTAACAGGAAGTTAGGATGTTGGGGTAAAAAGAGTGAAGACCTTCTAGTATTTGTGTGGGTGTTTAATAAATCACCAACTCTTCATTACTTAGAAACCAGGGCAGGTCACCTGCCCACTGCCTGGAGGCAGACCTATTCATAAGCTACTCCAGACAGATAAGAATCTTTCTCCACAATCTTCTCCAGCAACCAGAAAGTTTGTCATTATGTTTAAATTAAGTTCCTTTTCCCATAAATTAAGCCCATTTCCAGGTAGGTTTTATTTTTTATAACTTTGCTCTCCATTTTTTCCACTTGGTTTTGAGTAAATCTCAAGTGTCAATTTTCACATAGATTTAGAACAGCTAGGACCAGGTATGGACTCCCTTCCAAATAAACAAAAACCCAAGAAATTATTTCTGATCCTTAATAATATACCACAAATCAGAGGAAATGGGCACCAAAGAAAGACCACTGTGTTACTACTTGAAGCCCGTGGCCTCCTCAGCATTGAGCTCTTCTGCTTTCGAAAAGGAGGAAAAGTCTTGTGCTAGGACCTTCTGATGCAGGGGCAGAGCTGGTGGTGGTGGTGATCGGAGATGGGATAACACTCTTTGCTCCTTTTACACTATCCTCATGCTCCTCCCACCCCTCCATTCCTCCTAGACTCATTTCCAGACATCTCCTCCCTTCTACCACATCTCTAAGTAGACACGCACTAAAATGTTAAATTACAAAGCGCACATATTATACGATAGTGTACTGCTATTATCAAGTATATGCATGTGGATATTAGTACAGAGACTAGTGTGTTCCCTGTTATCTTGATAAAAGATAAAGATAAAATTTCTTCTCTAAAATATAGTAGAACTTCTCAGTTTTGTGAGGAGAGTAGCTCTGATTTTCTAAGCTGGTAATTATCTTAGTTTCAGTCATCAATTAGCTGATAGCCCTCTGATGTCTCTTGATTGGTCCCTTTGTCAAACGAAACAAAGCAAACACACGCAAAGACAGGATAACAAGTCTAGTGTATTCCAGTCTCCAGGAGGAACTTGGAAGGCAGGCAGTGGGGCTGGGGTGCAAATGGAGTGTGGAGACCTGGGAGTGCAAGGAAAAGGCTTTAATTTGTCAAAATGGTTTGGGTTAAATATGTGATTGAGTCAGCAAAAGCCTTTATCTTTGACCAGGGGGGTTTATCAAAAAGGCTTAAGATTTAGGGTTTGGTGTTGATGTTAGGGTTAGATCAGATTATTTAAGTATTAGGAAGCCTAAACTTTGGTTTTAGTTATACTAGGTCTACGCTGCAGACCCTGTCATTTGCTTTTATTGAGGGAGTGTGTTGGAGGAGTGCTTCTACCCTTTTCCAACTTCACCACGTCTTATTTTCTATGCCTTTTGAAGTCTGGTTGTCTTAAGAGCTAACCATTGATTTTTCCAAACTGATATAACATATGGGGTAGCCATGGGCTTCCAAAGGCTGAAATGTACATGATACTCCAGGGACCCAGGAAGTGCCCAAGAGTGATCTGGTCCTTTGAGGAAACACTCCGCTGAGAGAATAAAAGTTAAAACTCACCACATGGTGCTGCTATTATCAGTGGACATACACAAATTGTAAATCTGTACATTCAAAAACATAAAACAAACATCAAAGCTAAAATAGAGGATAAGTGGTGTCAGATATCTAATTTGCCCCATTTTATTTGTTAATGTACAGCTTTGATTTGAATACAAATCTATTTAGGGAGATCTAAGGACTATTATAGATTGCATTCCTCTACTTTATATACCCCAGGAAAGGGTGGAAACTGCTGTTTATTACTATGTGCAGCATCCAGTCTAGTTCATTTTGGGTAGTGAAACAACTAATTGGCAATTTTTTAATGAACTAAATATATTGAAAGCTCAAACAGGAGTCAATAGCCATTACTTAAAACATGTGACATAAATATTTTTATTGATCCACAAAGTCATCACTGAATATTTACATCATAAGCTATCTTATGCTAGCACTAATTCACTTTATATGTCCATTTGACTCAGTTAAGACATTCTGAAATAACCAGTTGTCATGTGGAAATTATAATCCCAGTAGTGCTGGATCTTTAAAACCTGGGATCATGATACTTTCAAACTCAGATCATCTTTTGACTTTAAAATTTCCATATTATAACTCCTAAAAGTAATGGAAAGTAACAATGAAAAATTAAAAATGAAGATGCTCTAAAGGCTTAATATATATAAAGGCATTAGCTTAAGTATATTAGCTGTTAACAGTACAATACTGAACTTGTTATTTCATATTAACCTCTCTTCTGTGACCTCAGAGTCCCATTAACTTGGTTGTTGTCATTTGTCCTACAATAAATTCTAATAAAAATATTTCTGTATTCTTGGTCGATTGCGGTGTAGCGGTCAGAGTACTTTCACACCCTCTCTCCCTAGCATAGGGTTAAAGATTCGGCGGAAGGGGAGCTCTGACAATCCGTCGGTTTAAAAATGCGGACTGGGACTGTTTAACGGGTTAATCTTTCTAGTACATTTATCTCCCACAAATCGATTTTTTAAAAAATGAGGCTGGCCCGAGGTGTTAATATGGTTGGCTGCGACCTTATTTTATTTTTTATTTTTTTGGTGCCGCCCAGGACCAGGTGGAAAAGATTTGTTACTAATTCCAGGGAAGAACCGTTCGCGTCGTGGTGGTTAAACGGTTGCCAGCGTTCACACTTCAGTGCTTGTAGACCAGAAGACTGGAAACGAAGGGGTTACTTGTTTCCCCACCACCGCCTTTACCCCCAGATCGATTTTTCTTATTTAATCAGCGGGTAAAAAGAGAGACACAGGGAAAAAAAAAATTGCAAGAAGGGCAAAGTGGTGGGGGAGGGTTGAAAGCCAGAAGCTGCAATACAGAAAATTCAGTCTTGGGAGTTCGCGCTGCCGAGTCCTTGCAACAAGGAAGGCAAGACAGCAAAACGCTCGCAGTGGTTTTCACACAGCCGCCCTCCCTTTTCTCCTCGCTACGCGCTGGTGGCTCATTTGGCTTCCCTCTGCCGCCGAGCGATCACATACATTATTTCCCCCAAGATAACACAATCAAACTTGTATTTACCGACATCCTCTCCTCGCAGTCTGTTTGAGATTTGTTTTAATAAATAAGTGTTTTATGTGAATGATGTAGTAATTGAAACGGGCGCACCATTTTTTTTTTCTTCTTACTGCGGGAGGTTCCTCAACCCCAATCTGGTTGGAAAATAAAACGCTTTGTCTCCACAACCACCCCCCACCGCACCCCCACCCGCTCTCAGTGTGTGTTTTATACGTGTGTATATCTCAACCCCCTACAGTAGCCAAGAGAAAGCAGCTAGCCAATGAGAGAGCCCAGTTTCATAAAAGCTGCTCTCTGATTGGCCCGATGCGAAAGGGCAATGGGAACAAAGAAAAGTCCCTTTCAGGTATAGAGGCTGAGAGCTCCTTTTGCTCCACTCCCCCTGTGTGTGTGTGTTGTGTTTCAGTCCTGATTTCAGTGTTGCAGAACAAGCTTGTTGTGTGTGTGCACCAGGGGGATTTTTCTTTTCTTTTTTTTAATTTTAATTTTTGCTTTTATAAAAAATACACAGGACGGTCTGTGACATTTGATGGTCCATCTTCTTTAATAATAAATTTGTTGAAGAGATTATAATTTCCAAAATAAAGCGGCTGCAACCAAACACATTCAATGCAGTTAGAAGGAAAAGGTCAACTCGATCCAATACAGACCGTAAGTACGGTTGCGTGGTGTGTCTCTATATAGCACTTAGCGGGGACTTCATGCAGGGGAATGTGCGAGTTTTATGCATTGAAATGAGGAACTAGTTACAGGGTTTGGCTTTTGCATTGAGAACAACAACCCAGGAAGGGTGAATTTTATTCAGTGGAGGGTGAAGCATTTGTAACTTCTTCACACAAATTAAGCTTGACTGGGCACTCGGGGTAACTTAAGAGTAAATTACCTTTTGGGCTCTAACCCAAGGAGAATAAAAGTGACACAGTTACATATCCTGATCTGCAGTGTCCATTCTCTAGCTCACCTCACCCCCTCCTCCTATCCTAGCTGGGCAAGACCCTCTTCCAAACAGAGCCAGGAAAATGGGGGCAACAGCAGAACGAGCCGATTTCTGTCTCCTGTCACATCCTAGTGCCCAATACTTTAATATTAAACAAGGGAATAGTCACCCATTACATGTAATGGTTATAATTACCATTTTCCACCTCCTTAAAAAAGCAAGCAGCAAAAACACCATCAAGAAAAAAAAGCCCCACCCAACCCAAACAAACCCACAAATAGTAACAATGGTGTGTTTATTACAGGACCTGGCTTGGGAGCTAGCAAAATGTTTTTCTTTGTTTAAGTCGTGAGGGGGTCCCTAAACCCAAGTAGCTCGGAGGTGCCCTCCCCCCTCGCCTAGGCCCCTTGGGAAAGCCGACAAATTGGAGATAAGTTGAGGAAAGGTTTATAAGGTGTTTCTTTAAAACATCTGCTTTGCTCTTGTGCTCATTACATTTCACTCCTTCCAAACTTCCGAGATCCTAGATCTGCGAGAAATGTTTCACATTCATAACTTGTAGCTGCGCCCACTGCAGGGGGGGGGGGGGGGGAGTGTGTGCAGGGGGAGGGGAGAGACCTTCAGCTTTTTTTTAAAGAGCAGATCAGTATTTTCTTGATACGCTTGTCACCATTTTTGTTCTCACGACAACCAATTGAGCCCTTGATCCTCACGTGATGTGAAAGGCTTGCACTGTAACAAAATCGCTCCTTTTAGATGGTTGGTTGTTGCTAACTCGCCCATCCCCCTCTCCCAGCCCCGACATTTCCAGCAAAGCGACTCTCCACTTCCAATCCATCAACAATTCATTACTGCTTTTAGCTTCCAAACGCCAGCTAATTAAAAATACTAAGCCAAGCTCCGGGGCCATCTGACTAAACACAGGAGGGGGTGGGCGAGAGAGGAGGAGGAGTGAAAAATAAATACAAGGGAGACGCACCGTTTGCTGCGACTATAAATGAGAAAAACTGTCCTGAAAAAAGGTCGCCTTAAAAAAAATCTCTTTTTGACTCTAATTATCGAATTACCACATGACTGATTGGCTTGAGCGACCGCGGATTTTTCCCCCCTTGGGGACTATACTAGGAACTCGGTTCCTTTTTCTTAAAACAACATAAAACAGGAAAACATCACATCCTTTGGGTTTCGAAGACTGAACCAATTTTAAATGCCGTTATTTTCCCCACTCCTCCGCCCCGAGCGAATGCTGTTATTACTGGTCTATCAGCTCACTGAATCCTCTGCTCCCCTCCCCCTCCACACCTTTCTTGTTCTCTTCTAGCTCGGCTTCTCATCCCACCCTTTCTTCCTCCTCCTCTCCCCCCTTCTTCCCCTGCTTTCCTCTTAAGTTAGTTCAAGAAATCAAATCTGTCAGGACGGGCGGAAAAATGCCACTTCCCGACTAACAGGCGGAATCCAGCCCAGATTTTCAGTCCTTTCTTCTTATTCTTTCTTCCCTTTCACTAATTTATCCCGATGTTAGCACATTCTGTCTTGTTACTAGCGGACGCCTGTAGGTTTGCTACATGGGATCATTACTTACTGATCACGGTGACTCTGAAGTCTGGAACTGAAGGCGGAATGAGAAGTTGGGAAAACTTTTTTCTCTAAGCTCTCTTTTTTTAAAAACTATTATTCTCGATGCTTGTTAAGAGGAAAAAAAACCTTTGGTGCTTCTGTTGTGAATGTGAAACATTATCTTCCAGCTGTACAGTGACACATTTTTTTAAGGAGAAAAGGACTCCTGATCCGTTTGCCAAAAGGGGGGTGGGGAGGTGGAATAATGTTATCGAGTGATTATTCTGGCTGAGATGTGTTATTTGGTTTCTTCCTTCTTGATCATTTGGTGTTTAAGTAAAATGAGGCACAGGCTTGGCCGAGTGGAGTGGGAAAGGCATTTTGATTTGCTGGCCTAATTAAAAAATGATAAAGGATTAAAGGTAAGCAATGTCTGTGTGTGTGTGTGTGTGTGTATGTATATTTATTTATTTTTTCTTGACAATCAACTGTTAAAAAGGGGCTGATCCCTTTAAAAACCGTTTTAACTGATCTTTGTCAAACACACACTCATTTGCGGTCATTGAGGCCACCTTGGCGCAGATCACTTAAAGTGTATGTCTTAATCAGTTTCCCCGTACAGTCAGTAGCACCATATTTAACAGATTGAGCAAGTCTGTGACCTAGGAATATGGTAGAATTGTTTGGGTGTAATATTTTTTTTCATAAGGCAGATATTTAGCCTTTTATTTAACACTGTCTTTTCTATAGAGAAATGCTTTTAAAGACGAGTGTGTATATTTCAAAAATAAAATTGTTTTAAACTGTGGGGGAAGAGAGGTTAGGAGGGGGTATGTGTATGTGGGGGGATTGTTGGTTGTTTTTTCTGTTCCTTACTGGGAACAAAAACCAGAGTGCCCAGACAATTTGTAAAAAGAAGTAATAAAATTAGAAATATGGAAAATTTAGCAGCATCATTCTGAAACTGGCCTCAGAGAACTTCCAGGGTCTGGTCTTTTAAACTGCAAGATCTAGGACATGCTGAGGGTTTAAAGCCGTGTTCCTCCCTCTTGTCTGAGTGTTCAGGCTGTGTTTCTTGGGTTGAGAGATCGCATGTATGTGCTAGAAAAAAATCCTAAACTCTTTTTAAAAAAAGAAAACACCTTTCTGGACTTGACTCAGATCCTTAAGATATTTTAATGCCTTTAAAAAAGTGATTATCCTTGTGTTATTGATAAAGGGATTTTCTTTTTTAGCTACTGTAAGATGCTTACTGTCATGAGTATGTTTTTCGGGTTTGGTTATTTTCCTTTAAACCTGGTATTGGACTGTGGAGACAATACATGAGCCACCTTACTCTCCATCCTTCCCTGTACCCCTTACTGACTCCCCAGTAGTAATCGTTTTTTATTCTGGTAACACCCAGACAAGAAATATTCGACTTTTCCCCCTTCACAGGAAAAGGTGGACCTGGACTGAAGGGTGTAAAATCCCTGGACACATTCCTGGGGCAGGAAAAAGAAGAGGAAGATTAGAAGATTTTTTTTTTTTTTTTAAAGAGAAAGCCCAGCGGAGCTAAACGAATGTCCCCTCATCTCCAAAGGAAAGTTCATCGGATTTTTATTCTAGAGAGCTCATCTTCAGGATGTCAGTGAACATTTCTGCGGCAGGAAAAGGTGTGGATCCAAATACGGTTGATACTTATGACAGTGGCGATGATTGGGAAATCGGGGTTGGAAATTTAATAATTGATTTGGACGCTGATTTGGAGAAGGACAGACAGAAATTTGAGATGAATAATTCCACCACCACCACTAGCAGCAGCAACTCTAAGGATTGTGGAGGTCTGGCCTCCAGTGGGGCCGGTGCTACCGCAGCCTTAGCTGATGGCCTAAAATTTGCTTCTGTTCAGCCCTCTGCTCCCCAGGGGAATTCACACAAAGAGACCAGCAAATCAAAAGTGAAAAGGAGTAAAACTTCTAAGGATGCTAATAAATCTCTGCCTTCTGCTGCCTTGTATGGGATTCCCGAGATCAGCAGCACTGGCAAGAGGCAGGAAGTCCAAGGGCGCCCTGGAGAGGCAACTGGCATGAATTCAGCGCTGGGTCAAAGTGTGAGCAGCGGCGGCGGCGGCAACCCAAACAGCCACAGTATCGGCACCGGCACCTCCGCTGCCACCGCGGGGGCGGCCTCCTGTGGGAAAAGCAAAGAGGAGAAGCCAGGTAAAAGCCAGAGCAGCCGAGGCGCCAAGCGGGATAAGGATGCAGGGAAATCCAGGAAGGACAAGCACGACCTGCTTCAGGGCCACCAGAATGGCAGTGGCAGCCAGGCCCCTTCCGGGGGGCACCTCTATGGCTTTGGGGCCAAGAGCAATGGAGGTGGCGCGAGCCCCTTCCACTGCGGGGGCACTGGGAGTGGCAGCGTCGCGGCTGCAGGGGAAGTTAGCAAAAGTGCCCCGGATTCAGGGCTCATGGGAAACTCTATGTTGGTAAAGAAGGAAGAGGAGGAGGAGGAGAGCCACAGGCGAATCAAGAAACTGAAAACTGAGAAGGTAGGATAAAGTCGCCTTCCTAGATCTTCCACTTTCCTTTTTGTGTGCATTTGTGTGGGTGTGTGGGGGGTGTGCCTCTGTGTGCCTTACACTTATTCGTGCTTTCTGGTTCTTTGTGAGACTTGTATTATCTGCATCCTTCCCTTGAATATTTGGTGTGGGGGAGCTTGCTTGGGTGCCAGTGTTCAGCTCTTGCTTCTGCTGCTGCTGCTGCTGCTGCTGTTTGTGGTGCTAGTGTTTGGGTCCCAGGTGGGAGGGCCTGAGTGCTCTAAGTACCTTTTGCCTGCAGAAGGGCTCCTAGCCCATCACCCGCTGCGGTGTGCTTTTAATAGAAAACCTGTTCATGCACCCGCTTGACTCTTGTCCTGGTTTCTCCCCAAAGGAGGACTGTCTTCTGTTTTAATTCACATGTCCTAGTATTTCTGGTAATGTGTCCTCAGGTACAGGGTTCATGTTCCCTCCCTGGAGAAGTATGTCGAAGATTCTAGTTTACACTCCTCCCTCACCCCATTTATTTTTTCCATACGTTCTCCAAAATAGTTCTGTCAAAGGATATCATCCTGTTATTGGTCCTGAATTAAACCCCAACCTTGGTGTCCTAGGGTCACTGATTTCATAACTATGTGGAAAGAATGGAATGGTTTTGATGGCTGCTAGGACTCGAGCCTTGTTCCCTTGGCCCAGTTCTTAGCTGGAGATTGAAGAGTGTTATCACTTGGATTTCTAGCTTGACTAGAGAGCTGAAAGGTTGGTAAGAAAAGTGAAATAGTGTAGTGGTGTTCCTGAAATGTGAAAACATAGCCAAAGGATACTAGAATTATGTGTTGCATTTCAGCAATGGGGATTGTTGATTTAGGCAATTTGGACCCTTCCTCCCCTCTCTTTGTCATTGTCTTAAAGTCTAGTTAGACACTGCCTTTGAGAAACTGCCCCCAATGTTGTGCTGCTTAGTGCTGGAGGCCTGTGACTTACTGGTCTGGCAATGATTGTGCATTGAGTTACGTCCCAGGACTGAAGGTGCTCTGTCCACTGGGCAGGTTGGGAGTGAGCTGGGGGAGTGGGTGATGTTTCTATAGAATTAATCTTTAGGTTAATTCTACAGATTGTGCTTTGGAGAAGCAAAATTCATATCATGTGGATTGTGGCTTGGTTTGGAAATATGCTTTTTAAATAATTTGATTTTTGCTATTTCTAACTCTATCAGAAAATGTTTTGGGGTAATTATTTCTGTGTACAATTATTCACTGCTCTCCATTTAAACCTTTATATTTTTGTTTTCGAGTGTTTAAGATTCAAATTGGAGTTCAGGAATAAAGTTTTGATTTTATGGTTTTAGAAGTTGATGAAAGTACATTAAGGTGTAGACAATGCCCAAATCCCAGAAAGCCTCCGAACACTTTTATTCTTATCCCCTTGGTCAGACAGCATTTTACATTGATGAATTTAAATGAGGTTTTAAAAATCCAGGTTTCGATTCTTATGTTTAAATGTGTAGTTTCACATCACTTCTGCTAAAAGGTGTTCTGATATCTTCTTATTACTTAGTACAGTAGGGCATTTGCTTTTGTTGCCAATAGTCTTCAAATTGCAGTTCTAATCTGCTCTAACGATCTAGATGAATTGCCCTAATCCAGTGCTCACAATGGCTGTGGTTAAGGAGTCAGAGCCATTTGATTGGATTCACTGCTGCCTGGAATGTGGGAGGTACTGCCCTTTTGCATTCCCTTTAGCCTTTTAATCTTCCAGCCAAATGTTCACATTCAACAATTTTGTTTAGCTGGCAATCGGAACATTTCAGTATCTCAAAGGCTGCTGTCATGGTAACTGAGATTAGAGCATGGTGTCGGTTCTCCAGTTTTTGTGTTCTTTTCACTTTCCAGTCACAGAGGAAACTGGATGAAGAATGGAAGAATTAAATTATTCATATACGTGCAACTCCTCTTCAGTCAGAGCAGTATAAATGTGATAATACGAATTACATAAATGAAGAGCAAACAAGTCACGATGGGTCTGGGGTGGAGGAGGGCAGAAAGCACAGTGCGTTCAGATTCACTCCACCGCTGACCGCAGCTACTGGTGTTGGCACAGGGACCCTTCAGGGATGGCTCCAGGGGGCTTGGATTCTGCATTGTTGGCCATTCTCTGTCAAGCTGGGGTGTTGGCTCAGGATCTCTAGCACTGTTCCTTCAATCTTTCCTCCCCACCCCCACCCCACCCCAGAATGACTTAAGATTGCTTTCATCCTTGGCACACACAGATGGCACTCCCTTGCACAGAGGCCACCCAGGGAAGAAACTCTAATTCACTAACTCATGGTTGTGTAAAATTAGACTTCAGTTTAGAAAGTACTTCCTAATGATGTGAGGATACCTATTGAGGAGGTCGAGATTTAGTAGGACAAGCTTTAGCTGACAACGTATTTCAACACTGAGGCACCTTTGAGAAAGGTTTTTTGACATTTTGTACAGTGTTTTAATTTCAGCCTTGCTTGATTTTCCGGGTTTGTGAAGAGTCAGTGCCTCAAAAGTGAAGATGATTAACTTGCAGCAATCAGATGTGGCTCATGAGGGGCCAAAAGTGAAAACCAATGTAGGGGGACGGTGTATGTGTGTGTGCTTTTTTTCTTGGTTGGAAGGTTCACAGGAGATTCATAAGACTTGCTGTCACCAGTTAATTTTCACAGCATGCTTAAATGTCTATTTTTGGTCTGTTTATTCTGTTTCTTCACTACACAAAGTCATGTAAAACATGATAAATTGGACCTTATGAAACCTAATTAAATCAATGAGTGTTCTGCTCCTTTATGTGGAAACCACAAATATGTTGTAAAAGTCGCCACTCCCTTAATACGTGAACAAAATCAAAACATGCCATAATTCTAAGATGTTTGAGCTATATTTCTATAGCCCATTTTGCGGTTAAGCCACCAGTGACATGTCTGAATAAGTAGATTTGACGGGTTGGCTTTTGGTTGTTAAAACCTGCTTCTCCTCCTTCCCCCTCCTTTCTTTTGAAGCATAATAGCCTGTATTGAGGCTCTTCTGCACGTATCCTCCTTAGCCGTCTTGCAGTTTTCACTTATCAGACACAGGCATTCGGGTGGGCTAAATAGTTAAATAGAGGACGTGGGTTTATTTGATGGCTGGAAAATTCAAAAATGTAGAAGAATTCTGAAAAACAGCTGATGCTTAAATAGACATGAAAAGCACGAGAGATCTTAGAGTTGTGTCTTAGGGTTCTGACCATTCAGTACATATTCAGAAAAGAGAATTAGTTCTCTAATATCATACTGCTTTCATTAAGCTGGTCCTTAACAGCCTAAAGGTGGTGTCTACAAATGGACCTGTCTATAAAGGATATCATTCATTTTATTTTATTCTCTTGTAGAAGCCTTTTTACACCTCACTGGGGAATACCGGCACATTTTCTAAGTGAGTGTGAGCAGTTTAAGAACATATTTTGATTAATGAGTTTTGTGCACGATATGCCTTTTTTTCCCCCTGTAAATATAGTGCCCTCTACAAATTCTGCTTAGAGAGTGCAGTTTATCTACTGTGAAATAAAAGGGCAGAAAGGTCACTTGCTATAATTAAAGAACAAAGTCCATTGTTGTAGGACAGCAAACTGTTTTGAAAGCTACATAAGGATTTAGCTGTTAAAAACATTGGTAACTAAGGGTGGTTCCCAATCAGCATTGATCCTTACTTTTCTATAGGCTTCCCTGGAGGGTGACAGGGCTTTCTGAGGTGGGTGCAGAGGGGCTGCCCTTTCCCCAAGGAAGTTTTCTGTGAACACCCATGGAGCTTGGAGTATTTGTGTGACCAGGCACATCACTAAGGTCTGAGTGTAGTATTTGAAATCTGCTGGGTTTGCTGGAGAAATTAAAAAAATACGCACAACTGATCAGGATTGTGCTAAAGGAGATAAATAATGTTTAGCAACTTTTAATAACTTTGCAAATAGTCTGTAAGGGGGGGGAGGATTGATTGTCCAAATGTCACGAGGTTAAGAATGCTCTTCAAGTGGAATTGCTGGCTGCAAGATGGTTTTAATTAGAGTGTTATAAAGACTTATTTTTCCTAAGCAGCATTTTATAGTTAGTAAATGAAATGTATGCCGAAAGTGCTAAGCAGAAATCTCCCTAACCACAGAGGTGTTCAATAACCAGATTCAAACAACATGGAAAGTACCATCTGTTCTTCGTTTTCAGCATGAAAAACAAGGATTGAATGGCTGAGATTTGCTCCAATTTTGACTGTCTGTGTGTGTTTTTTTTAATTTAAAAAAGTTCACCTGGTACTTCATAGAAACTTGAAATTGCAGTAATATGAGCAACACTGTGAAAACACATGTTCATACATTTATTTTAACCAGTTCCACTTTCATTTAAAAGATTTCCAGAAGCCTAGCCATTGAACACTTTATAATGGTTATTCAGTTCCTGCAGGCAATCACAATGAGGGGTCAGTTCTTCAAAGATCTAACTATTTAGTCAGTACCTGAATTATTCTGTCAATCTTCCCCCTGGAGGCAAGGGGGGCAAAGGCTCTGGCAGGCTAACTCTGGTCAGCGTTTATCGGTTAATCTCATTGTATGTGATAGCGCCCTGGACTGGTATTTACTATACATAGGCCTTGCTCTGGTTCAGAGCTGCAGTCTAGGCTTGTTGATAATGAGGAAAATATTCTTTTAACGCTGCTAACTTTTGAGTCCTTGACTTATTTAGATGGTAAGCTTCTTGGTTCTGGTTTTAGTAAGAGCCCTGGGTAAAACATTATCCGGCCTTTGTTTGAGGTCTTCTATAGAAGCTAATGACTGGGCTTGTGCCTCCCTGAGATAGATGACATTATCTCTGAGTGAGCTGACAGGAAACAGACATGTTAATGGTGAAGCTGCGGGGAGGATCTGCTCCGGGTCTGACAGAAGAGCCGAGAAGGGACCCCTGCTTGTGGTCCTTAACACATAATGCATTCTTGCTCTTCCTAAGAGGCCCTTGATAA